CTTGATCGACTGATTGGCAGGGAGATAGTTATATACATATATATAGAGGTATCCATATACATATGTATGTTTTACATAAATAGATAACTAGTTTGATAGCTCGATAGGTAGATGGGCAGATGTGCGCGACAATAGAACAATCGAAACAACCACGAAAGAACCCAGAGCCATGGCAAATCGATCGCCTCCCCCTTCTCTCCCCAACCTCCTTTTCACCCGTAGGGCGGTCCTATCAGTATATCGGAGTCGCGTCGGTGCGTCTCGGCGTTGCCTTGGCGCATCTGGGAACATCATGCGGGGGCGGATAGGAATCATCAACGCATATTGAGACGTCGGCGTTATCCGAGTGGCCTTCGGCCACCGTGCCTGGGTTGTGAATCTGAGGCCTCTTGTATATGTGTTGGGGTGTCGTGGGGGTCTCTCGGGGGCCTCTCGGAGGCTATTTGGGCGCCTCGTGGGGGCCTCTTGGGGTCTCGTGGGTATCCGTTGGGCCTCTTGGATGCCTCTCGGGCGCGTATTGGGCGCCTCCTCTTGGGGCCTCTTGGCAGCCTCTTGGCGCCTCCTGGGGGCTTTCGGGGGCTTCTCGGAGCGCTTCTTGGGCAATCTTGGAGCCCTCTTGGGCCGTCTGGGGACCCTCTTGGACGCGTCTTGGGCTGTCTGGGGGCGGTTTTGAGAGCTTCTTGATCCGTCCTGGAGCGTCAAACAGCAGAAAACGCGAGAAGGCCAACATCCTCAAGAAACCTTTGTACAACCAACCACTTTGACCTCTTGGGGCCCTCTCGGGAGGCCTCTTGGAGCACCCGTGCGCCCCTTTCTGGTGTTGGCAAGGCACCACGCCCCCCTTCCGGTGTGGGCAACATGCCACGCTTGCCTCGCCCTGCGAGCCTGCAGCGGAGAACGCCCCCGCCCCTCTGCGCATCCCTTCTGGTGTCCAGAAAGTGCCACGCCTGCCGCGCTTTGCGAGCGCACGACGGACAGCGCCCCTACCCCCCTGCGCACCCCCCTTGGGTGTCCAAGACGTGCAGCGCTCGTCACGCTTTGCGAGCGTACGACGGATCGCGCCCCCACCCCGTGCGCACGCTTGTCGTGTCCTGCGAGCATGCAGCGGATAACGTTCCCAACCCTTGTGCGCCCCGTCGGGCGTCGACAAAGCACCGCGCCCTGGAAGCCTGTCGCTGATACCAGAAAACGCCACGCCTGCCACGCTTTACGGGCGCACCACGGATAGCGCACCAACTCCTTGTGCACCCCGGTTGGCGTCGACAGAGTGCCACGCCTGTCACTTCCTGCGAGCCTTCAACGGATAGGGCCCCCCACCATTTGCACTCCCCCTCCAGTGTCGAGAAAGTGCCGCGCGTGCCACGCCCTGCGAGCCTGCAGCAGATAGCGGTGGTGTCCCTAAGCGTGTGTGTGTGTGTGCGCGTGTGTGTGTGTGATGTGTTGTGTTGTGTTGTGTTGTGTTGTGTTGTGTTGTGTTGTGTTGTGTTGTGTTGTGTTGTGTTGTGTTGTGTTGTGTTGTGTTGTGTTGTGTTGTGTTGTGTTGTGTTGTGTTGTGTGTGTCTGTGTGTGTCTGTGTGTGTGTGCGGCTGTACGTGGACGTGTGTCTCACGTTGGTGCCCAGTATGTGTTGCATGCGTCTGGTGTGTACGATGCACTGAACACGCCAGGTGTATATTAGCGTTGTGTGGGGTGTTTGTATGTCGGGATGCCAGTGTGTGCGGATGTAAGTGTTGACCAGGTAAACATTTGCGTTGTCTCGTCCGCGTGTCCTCCCTCTCCTACCTGCGCGTGGTGTGTGTATGTGTGTGTTGTGTGTTGCCTATGTGTGTGTGCGGCGGTCCAGCACGCGGCGGCCGCAGTGGAACTGGCCGCCCTGAAGGCCAACCACGGCAGCGTCGGCCCAGGCAGGCCCAAGGTGCGGCGACGCTGGGCGGCGCCGGGGCACTGCCACAGGCGGGCACCGCGGGTGGGGGACGCGGCGGCGGTCGCCGCCGCTGCCGAGCCGCCCGCAATAGCGCGGCCAGGGCAGCCAGCAGCAGTGGCACCTCCCGCGCGCCCCCGCACTGGGGAGCAGGCGGCCGCGGCGAGGGCGCTGTTCGCGCGTGCCGCCTGGCAGCCGCACGCGACGGCGCAGGGCCCCGCGTGGGTGGCGTGCCTGCGGTGCGGTGCTCGCCAGCGGGCCATGCGGCGGGTGGGCCCCAGCGCTGCCCCCTAGTACCGCTGGGCTCTGTCGCGATTGGTGAATGTGTGTGTGTGTGTGTGTCTTTGTGTGCGTGTGCGGATGTGTCTGATGCGCGCGCGAGTGCAGGTGAGAAGGGGAGGGAAAAGGGGGAGGTCAGAGGAGGAGGAGGAGGTGGAGGAGGAGGTGGAGACACGTGTGGGACGCGGGTTGGAAGACAACCAGAATTCCAGTAAGTATTCGGGGGACTACTCCCCTCCATCTTTGAATCTGGCGCAATCCCCTAAGTCGAGTGCACGAGGTGCTAAGGCAATCGCCTTAATATGAAGCAACCTGGTCACCTTCTTAGAACATACTGGAATTCTTGAAGACGGATGCGTGCGGTGCTGAGGCAGGAACCACAGTTTGAAAACGTCCCGCCTTCCATCTGTGAACATGCTGCACAGTGCAAGCTTCATGATAACAAGTGCCAGACGCGAGCTCGTGTTTCGAATGTTGTGGGCGTCTGGTGGCGGTGATGATGAGACAGTTTGGCGGTCTCTTGGGCGAGGTGCCGCCGTTCTCTTAAATATACGATCAGGATCCGACAAAATTGTGACGGGGCGCCTCAGAAATCCAGCGGTCGCCCGACACATTGCCAGTCTGCAGGAACAGGGGGAGGAGGAGGGGGGTAGGCGTAGCATGGGGTGACGGGGAAGAGGGGTTTGGAGAGTGGATGGGGGAGGGCGAGGTGGAGAGCCGATGTGGGAGGGGAGGACATGGAAGGAAGAGGAGGAAGAGGAGGAGGAGCAGGAGGACTTGGGAGGACAAGCTGGGTGCGATCGCGCCAAATCTGATATCCTACTCCTCGCACCCATCTCTTGGCATTGCGCTGATTTTCTCCATCCTCCGATTCCGACAGGTGTCATAACGGGCGTGGACCCCCCGAACAAAGTACCCCATCGCGTTATGCGCAATATGAACAGAAGACTTGTCTTCATCGGAGGAAGATGTGGCGGATGAGCAAGGGAAGGAGGAGAACGAAGAGGAGCAGGAATATGACGATGAGGATGAGGATGAGGACGAGGAAGGAGGAGCACGAGGGGGAACCGCAGCAGTGGCAGGCGGACCGGGGGCAGGCAGAGGAAAGGGGTAGCGACCGGGGCGACAGCGACGAGCGGCGACCGGGGTCCAGAATTGTGGCCTGCGCCAGGGCGAGGGCGCCACTCTGACCGGCGCGAGCGAGGCGTCGATCCTAAATGCAGGCCGCCGCCGCAGCGACAACACCATGTTCTGACACCGAACATCGGGGGTGGACAGACCTCCTACCCTGACACGTCGATTGAGGAATTGGCCGTTTTCGGTTCGCGAGAGGGCGTCGCGGCCGTCATTTTTGCGGGTCCAGGTCCGTCGGTTTCGGTCCCAGGCCGTTTTCATTAAAGGGAGGTTTACTAAAGGGAGGCTTGTCCACCGCCGAGAAAACGTTTCGACCGAACAGACATAGAAACAGCATGTTGCAGACACTTCTACGCTGAGACACCGAGTGCGGCAGAGAAGGGGTCCCGCTCGGACGCGATCCGGGGAGAGAGGAGGGCAGTGCTCATGGCGAGCAAGCATGGAGAGGGAGGGGGAGAAGGAGGGGAGGGAGTTGGAGGGGGCAGGAAAAGAGGGGAAGGAGTTGGAGGAGGGAGAGGAGAAGAGGGGAAACAGTTGGAGGGGGAGGGGAGGAGGAGGAGCAAAAGACCAAGAAGAGGGCGAGGCAGGAGCAGGAAGCCTTCCGAGGTTGCGGGCTCTTCTGGCGGTCAAGCTCGCACCCTTGTCGCACCGTCGTGGCGATGATCGGCTTGATACACCGCCTATTCTGGTGACAGGCCCTGAGCAGCTCGATCAGTGCTTCAAACTGGATGCGCCGACGGTCGCAAACCAGCCAGACAGACGCCGCTAGCAGTTGATCGAATAACAAGACGCACATTGTTGCAATGTTGCCTTGCGGAATGCCCGGCCCATTGTGCATCAAAGACGCTATCAAAACACGTTGATTGGGGTGGTACGTTAGAAGACCATACCACTGTATATATTTGAGGTGTCGAGCAGCGTGCCAGACTGTCAAATTGCTTTGTATGAGATCCTCGCAGCTGCTGCGCGGTTTAGTACCCATCGGTCGTTGAAAGTAGGTATTTTTGGATTCCCGCATTCCAATGTACATCAAGTGCCTTCCTACTTCAATGATTGAGTGGCTTCACCTACTCCGTCCTCCCAAGGAGGCTGGCGGACACCCAATCTACTTTCAACGCCTTCCGACTTCATGTTTCTATATATTTCTTCCGACCGATGGGTACTGCCAAGTCCACGAGCGCCTTGGCGCCAGAATTTGCTGTGGACTCAACTTTGGTCAGTGCTGGCTGAACAAATACAGCCTTTGTTTCGAAAAGGCGAGGGGAAGGGAAAGGAGCAACAGCAGCCACAGCCAGGGCAGCCTGAGCAGCAAGGGTAGCAAATAGCAGCAGGTGGACCAGGTGCAGGTGCAGGTAGGTGTAGAAAGAGGCCGCGCTGTTCGGCCACACGCCTGTCACAGCGGTCTGCCTGCCCAGCGAAATTCGGACAAGATTGGGATGGGTCTGCGTGTGTGGCTGTTTGCATGGAGAAGCAAGTCCAACTGCAGCAAGAGCATGATGAGGAGGGGGGGAGTTGGATCATGACAAGGAGGGATACAGGGAGAACGACAGTGGACAGGAGGTGATCAAATGCAGCTAAGATTTTGTATACTTTCGTGCGTTCTCCTTCCTCTTCCCCCCTTCGGCTGCGCCAGTTCGCAATTTGCTGCTTGCGTACTGTCGCGAAGGACCATCTTGGCCTTGTGGCAGTCCATCACAGGCGGTGCCGACTGGGACCAGATGGCCAGGCCGATGATCCACGAGGCCACCACGCGCTTGAAAGCATATGCGTATGTGAGGGCACCTTCCCCAAACTGGGGGTTCGTTCACTCTGTTCTTGCTGCGGAGTCTCCTCCCCTTTCTCATCCTCCTGGGTGGTTCGTTTGCTTTCCGAACCCTCTGGGTATCTCCAGAGACCTCTGGAGATCTCCAACCCTTCCGGATCCTTTGGCGAAGGCGTCTGTTGCCTTCGAGGGCTGATGCGAGCGCGTGTGTTCGAGCGACCTGGTGCACTTGACGAATTACAGTCAAGATCGATAGTGGAGATGGTCGACTTCCCCAGGGTTCCTTTGCATCCTTGCCTCTTCGGTCATCTGCGGTCCATCCTAAACCTGAACCACTTACGATGGCCAGCCCCGTTCAAGAAGCTTCGGCATGGGAGTCCAAGTCCCTTGCATCCGTAATCGCGCACCCCGGATAACAAAGTATCCCCCCCTTAACCCTTGGGATTTGATTCTCCTGGGCCAGGACAGAGTTGGTCGGGGGAAAGGGGCGGCGAGGCCGAATTTCACCATCGCCAGGGACGATCACGAACTTGTGTCAGGGCTACGAGATTATCAATATTGCCTCTCTTCCTGAGGCTCTCCTCTGCCTCTCCTCTTATCCTCTCCCTCTCCTCCTCCCCCAGGCCCTTCTCTCCCGAAACTGTTTGGAATCTCCGGGGATCATTATGAGTGGACACAACTCACCATCAGCTTCTCTACACGTACATTTGCAAACGATATAACAAACAAATGTTTAACAATAAGAACATCGTAGGTACCGAACCTGTGATTTTCTGAAGCCGAACCTGAAGCCTCCATCCCCATCCCTTCCAACTCTTCCTCTGTCACCCTCCCTCCCATCCTCTACCTTCTTCCCAGCCTCAGCTACACTATTACGATGACGATTACTACTACTACTACTACTACTACTACTACTACGACTACTACTACTACTACTACTACTACTACTACTACTACCACTACTACTACTACTACTACTACTACTACTACTACTACTACTACTACTACTACGACTACTACTACTACGAACTACTACTACTACTACTACTACTACTACGACTACTACTACCACGGAAACAACTAGTAGTAGTAGTAGTACTACTACTACTACTACTACTACTGCTTCTACTACCTACTACGATTACTACTACTACTACTACTACTATTACTACTAGTGCTACTACTACTAGTACTACTACTATACTACTACTACTACTTCTACTACTTACGACTACTACTACTACTACTACTACTACTACTACTACTACTACGACTACTACTACTACTACTACTACTACTACTACTACTACTACTACTACTACTACTACTACTACTACTACTACTACTACTACTACTACTACTACTACTACTACTACTACTACTACTACTACTACTACTACTACTACTACTACTACTACTACTACTACTACTACTACTACTACTACTACTACTACTACTACTACTACTACTACTAGTACTAGGACACGACTACTGCAAATATTACTACTACGACGACTACGGCTACGAAGACGACTACGACTACGACTACGACGTTCACGATTATTGTTATTTTGTCGGCTACGACTACGACTACGATTACGACGAAATGTACTACTACTACTACTACGACGACGACTACTTTTTCTACCACTACTACTATTGCTACTACCAGTAGTTCGTTGGTTCATGGGCGACGACCTACTACTACGTCTAAGGCTACTACTACCACTACCACTACTACCAAGACTGCTACTACTACTATAACGACGATTAAGACTACTAGGACGACTACAACAACAACATTTATTACTACTACTACTACTACTACTACTACTACTACTTCTGCCACGACTACTACTACTACGGCGACGACTACGCCTGCCATCATTACTATCACCACTACTTCTACTACTACTCCTCCTACTACTACTGCTACTGCTACTACTACTACTACCACCACCACCACTCCTAGTATGACCGCTACCACTACCACCAATACGCTTACTACAACTACTATTACTACTACTATTAGTGCTGCTGCTTCTAGTACTTACTCGTACTACTACTACGACTACCACTACGACGACAACGACTATTATTATTTGTACTACTTCTATTAATTCCTCTACTACTACTACTACGACTACTACTACTACTACTACTACTACTACTACTACTACTATTCATACTGCCACTACTACTCCTCCTACTACTACTACTACTACTACTACTACTACTACTACTATCACTACTACTATTATTACGCCTACTACTACGACTACTACTACTACTGCTACTACTACTACTACTACTACTACTACTATCACTACTACTATTATTACGCCTACTACTACGACTACTACTACTACTGCTACTACTACTACTACTACTACTACTACTACTACTACTACTACTACTACTACTACTACTACTATACTACTACCACTACTACTACTACTACTACTACTACTACTACTTCGACGACGACGACTACTACTACTACTACTACTACTAGGACTAGTACTACTACTCCCACTACTACTACTACTACTACTACTACTACTACTACTACTGCTGCTACTACTACTACTACTACTACTACTACTGCTTTTGCTACTACTACTACTACTACTACTACTACTACTACTACTACTTCTACTATTTCTACTACTTCTACTATCACGACGACTACTACTCATACGACGACTACTACTATTACTGCTACTACTACTACTACTACTACTAGTCTACTACTACTACTACTTCTACTACTACTACTACTACTACTACTACTACTACTACTACTACTACTACTATTGTCTTCCTAATTCCTTCTCTACAGGAAAATCATACCATTATACATACGAGTTGCCAGGAGAAGAATATACCGATTCCCTGGACCCCAAACTGTATCACCCTCACCCAGTGATTATCAGGGGCACAGGGTTTTCGCGCATCTGGATTATCTGTTTGCAGAGTTGTCCTCGATGGTTCTTCTGCTTCGACTTCTGATCTAGCATAAAGCTCACTGGGATACCACTCACAGTCAAAAAGGCTGCGGGGAAGTCGACGGGGATGCGGAATAGGAAGGATAAGGGAGGAGAAGGGAGGACGAGGAGGCTCCTTGCATCCCTTTCGCGTAGGGTCATGTCTGGGGCGTGTCCTGCAGTCCCGGCCTCGTGTGCTGCGAGGGCCTTGCGGCCGGTGCCTTCGACCTTGAAGGGGGTCGACGACGACGACGACGACGAATGCGGCGACGGCGACGGCGACGGCGACGACGACACCGGCGACAACGGAGTCGGCGGGGGGGACGGCGACAGCGACAGCGACTGCGACGGCGACAGCGGCGGCGGCGACGTGGACGACGACGAAGGCGGCGGCGGCGGTGACGACGACGACGGCGTCGGCGGCGGTGACGACGACGGCGGCGGCCGCGACGACGATGACGACGTTGACAACGACGGCGACGTCGGTGACGACGATGACGACGACGACATTGACGACGACGACGTTGGCGACGACGACGACATTGGCGACGACGATGACGACGATAACGACGATGACGACGACGACGACGACATTCTGGAGCCGAAAGCTTCTTCCAGGGAGGGGTGCTCCCCCCGCCTTGTGTAGTCCTCTCTCTCTCGCAGTCTCTCTCTCTCTCTCTCTCGTTGTGCCTTTCTGCCGCCTCCGCCGCTGGGCCTCGCGCGGACGGCACAGACGAGGGCGAGCTCGAGAGCTGCGCCCCCTCGTCACCTCACGACGGCGGGGGGGGCCCTCCTTGCCCCCGGCTCGCGCGCCAGGATCCAGGAGGGGAAAACACCCACAGACTCAATGAAGCGTCGATGCCCAGGAAGACATGGGAAGTGGGGGGGAAGACGAGAACCCAGAAGATATATATATATATATATATATATATATACACGGGAAAATATGTGGGGAATCCTGCTATTTCTGTGTCTATCTATTTGTGTGTGTCCCAGGGCCCCTTCCAGGAGGCCCGGCTGGCTGCTCTGGCGCTCGGCCCGCGCAGCCCCCTCGGGGGAGGTGCCTGCCGTGGCGGCCCTTTCTCTGCGGGGTGCGGGCCCTCGAGCGGGCCGCGTCGGCGGCGCGGCCTGTCGGCCAAGCCCTGCGGAAGTCGACGATCGTGGAGACTTGGCATCGCTCGGACGTGTGCATTTTTATTTCGGCGAGAAGCATCGAGGACCATCCTGGACCATCGAGCAAACAACAACACGCACGAAGCCGAACACATGCACGGGAGATGGACGTCCGAGCGACGGCAAGGGAGGGGAGGCATGCTGCCGAATACTTTCCAGATGTCTAAAGCATGTCTCAAGCACGTTCTGAAGGTGTCAAAACATGTCTGACCCATGTCTGGAACAGGTGTTACAACTTTTGAAACACAGGTTTAGTTCAATGATCGGATTGTTAGAGTGTCCACTGTCATGGCATCCACAACCCTGGCCGAGGTCGAGTGCCGCCAAAGCTTCGCGGCGGCCTCGTCTTCTCTGGGTGTCTCTCGGCCCCCCTCCGCTCGGCGCGGCCTCAAGCGGGCCACGTCCGAGCAGGGTCTATCAGTCAAGCCTGGCCGAGGTCGAGTGCGGCTAAAGCGTCGCGGCGACCTTGACGTCTCCGGGTGGCTCCTGGCCCCTTCCCACGTCGGCGGCACGGTCGCCTTCACTAGCTGGTTGTAGTATCGCTCGCCTGCCCCGCCCAAGTCTCCCAGCCATCACGAGCTGGTTGTAGTATCGCTTGCCTTTCCACTTCCCCTTCTCCTTCTTCGTTCCTCTGCCCCACAGAGGCGGATAAGAGTGATGGGGCGGCAGGGGCGTCGGCAGTCTGCGAGGCTCTGAAGAAGTCCGCCGCAGGCGTATGATTTTTACAGACTATACAACGAGCCCGCCGCAGGCGCCGATTTCTTTGTCAAAAGAGTGTGGGTGGGTCGCGGGTAGGGTCGTGGGTGCGTCGCGGGTGGGT